TAAATTGTAAATTCTAGATAATTTTCTAGTCTATTTTTTGGGTATGTAGACCTCTTGTTCATTTTTGAGATTCTTTTGAACTATGAAACTATAGTATGCTTTCTTCTTTGCTCCAATATGCAGGTGGGTTTCTTGTATTTCTCAGTGGTGGAAGACTACTTCACAGATTTTATCAATTTACATGGCAAAGGTTGGATTTCAGTGTATTGTGACCCGGCAAGGCCAGCTTTTTTGGGCTCAGGCACCACAAATCTGAGTGATGTGTTGGTTCAGAGCACCAGATGGAGTTCTGGTTTGGTTGAAGTTGCTATCTCAAGGTTCTGTCCTCTTCTACATGCCCCAAAGCAGAAGGAGAAGCAGATGTCTGTTCTTGCGAGAATGTGTTATGCAGAACTTGCATTCTTTCCTTTCTATTTCATCCCATTGTGGTGCTTTGCTACCATTCCTCAGCTCTATCTTCTCAATGGCATTCCCTTGTACCCTGAGGTTAGTTTGTAACCCAAGATATATATGAATTCCCTTTCTCTTTTACATAATTTTGATTTCAGATAGAGTAATGATATACGAGCTAACAAATTTTACAATTTTCTTTTTATAAATCTTACAATTATGACTATAATGATAGCCCTTTTTGGGATTACAGTAAGCAAGATCATTAATTTTTCTATTTGTTTAACATTATTATTTCCATTGTAATTTTATTAACAAAAACTAGTTGGACAAAATCTGATAAAAAAAAAGTACGCATATTTGAAAATGGAATGTGGGGCCAAAAAAAGTTAAGCAGATTTGAGAATGGGTGTGGGACCCATTTTTTAATTTAATTAATTTTTTGTGATCTAATTCTGTCTAACTAGACTTTGTTCAAATTAAAATTATAGGAATTAGATTTAAAATGTAGGAAGCAAATTATTTAAATTGAAATTATAGGGATTAAAGTAAAATTTGGGTTAAACTATAGGAGTAAAAAGTGTTATTAACTAAAAAATCAAAATAAAAACAATAATGAGTCCTCCTTATTATTGCAATACAAATTTAACAAGTCTGGGAATACAAAAATTGATCACAGAATTAAAACATATATAGATGGATAAGATCTTTTAGATGTGGATCCCATCACTAAATTTTGTAAAATTTTGCAGCTATATATATATATATATTATGTGTTTTATTATGTGATTAGGTTATGAATTTGTAGCAAAATTGTTACAAATTTTAACCGATATGCCTAGCCACTACTTGAAGGGCTTTAGTACCTACCCAATATGATCTCTCATGTTTGGCAGGTTTCAAGCTGGTATTTCATTGTATTTTCATTCATTTTCGTCTCGTCCCAATCCAAACACATCCAAGAGATCTTCTCAACTGGAGGTTCAACCCAAACATGGTGCAATGAACAGAGAATGTGGATGATAAAGTCAGTCACATGTCATCTCTATGGAAGTTTGGATGCTTTCATGAAGAGAATGGGTATGAGAGAAGCCAGTTTTCTACCAACCAATAAAGCTGTCGATGGTGAGCAACTCAAGAGATACCAAATGGGTAAATTTGATTTCCAAGCATCAAACATGTTGATTGTTCCAGTGGTTACCTTGGTGATTCTAAACCTAGTATCCTTGTTTGGAGGAGTTACTAGGATGGTGGTTATCAATGGAAGTTTCAATGAGATGTTTGTGCAAGTTGGTTTGTCATTTTTCATTGTATCAATGAGCTACCCTATTGTTGAAGGGATGGTGGTGAGGAAGGACAAGGGTAGGGTTCCAATTTCTGTTTCTCTTTTGTCTGCTGTGATTTCCATGATTTACTTGCTTTTGGGATCTCTTATTATCATGTATTGGTGACAAGTAGATCATGTAGTTGGGTTAGAAGTTTTGTATTAATGTATCGCGATGTTGTTAGTATTTTGATTTTAGTTCTTTTCTTCCTAAGAAGAGGAAATGAACAACTTGATTGAAAATGTATTGTATGGACCAGAGTAGGTTTAATTCTTCTATGCTTTCTCTGAAATCCTTATTCATAACTATTACATTGACCCCAAAGTTCAACCCAGTGTTTTTCACCTAGTTGATTATGATTCGATATTAGAAATGTTGAATAATTTAGAGTTGCATGTTTATTTTCTTTGTATTGAGTTAGTCAAAGTTGTCCTAGTCTGTAGGAATTGGTTGTCCTAGTTTTTAGTATTTGGTTAATAATGGAGTATTATTCTACACGTTTTTATTTACCTAGTCTATAGGAGTTTGTTTTGCACATTTGAGTATTGCTGTGCAGTGCCTATTGTAGCCCGACTTTCCGCACTTCTTTCGGAAGGCGAATAGTCCTACAGTTCAGACTCCCGCGATGGTTCTGAATTTGATCTTACAAGTGCAATGTGAAATAGATAAACACCAAAGAGTCTAAATTTGACAAATCTTTTATAAAATTGATTTTGAATCAAATGTTAAAAATGGACTACTTTGCCAGATTTTAGAGTCGTTACCTAAATCTTTTTTGAAAAATTTAGGAAATCCAAGACTCATGTCAAATGCCATTAGTCCGTCATCACCAAAGTATCTTGGCTCGAGAACTTAGGTACGAGAGGGGAAGATCATGAATTGAGCACCCTACTCGTCCGATCAAAGATCGGCCTTTACTAATTATGATGTGATTTTTTATTTACATTATATGCTCTTATTTCGATTTATTAGCTATATTACTATGTGATGCGCACTCAAGGTATAGACTAATTTGCAAGAATTGGAACGCTTGATCTCATGTTTTGTTTCGAAATTGTTTTGTAAATTTGCCACTTGAAAGGTGGGCTGAAATGGACATTTGATCAAACCATCTCAGTTCAAGCAATTAGCCTTCATCCACAAACATTCAGACAATTATATCATTTAAGCAATTAGCCTCATGGGAGTATGCTTTGACATGGCAACAACCACATTCATGCAATATGCTAAAGCTCAAAATAGCTCACCTAGTATTCCGAGCCAAAACAAAGCAAAATAATTAGAAAAATGTGCATGTTCCTAATTAATGGAATATGACTAATGTAACACATGCATTATGTATTTTATAGGTTTTTGCTATGAGCATGGCATATGATTCCATTCAAGACATGCGAGGGAGCACACAGTCAAGTAATGAATTCGAACATTTGATATCGGGTTAGCATGATGAGCCGAACCTTGGATGTATGTAAGACAAATGGATGCAAAACATGGAGTATGCTAACAAAACATAATGTTTCTAAACTAACCATCATACGCAAGTAAGTAGAAGGGAGAAAGACGTGGGGTTGGAAGACATACAATTTATTACAACATTGCCCTCGTGCAAAAGGGTGCGAATCAAAGTTTGAAAGTCTGAATTAAACTAATTATTACAAATCCGAATGAATAAATTAAAGAATAAACTAGCTAACTAGGCTATTACAACAAGGATAACCAATGTAAGTAAGATTAATTAAGCTAAGCTAACTAGCTATAATAATTACAAATTAACAAGATTAATTATAACAAGACTAATAAATAAATTAATTACAACAATGCATACAGCATTAATACATAAGGGTTGCATGCACAAGGTCCCAGAACAACACTGTCTGCCTTGGCTTGCTCTGTTTCACCTTCAGCCACTTCCTTCTATTTTTTTCCAAAATATATTGCTGACCAAACATTGATGATTGGCCGGCCTTCAATGAAGCCTGGCCGGGCCTAAAGAAGGCCGGTCGTGCCTTAATTTCATGTAAAATTCTGTTTTGTGCTCTGAAGTGAAAACAGTGCAGACAGAGTGTTCTGGACTTTGTTTGTCCCTCTCACACTTCTTTGTCATGGGAAAGCCTCGAGAGAAGGTTGTAGTTGTTTCCAAAACCATCAAGGAGCAAGTTGATTGCTTGATGATTTCGGGCACAATTTTGGACAAAAATTACTAAATGATATGGACAACAACCACCCCTCTTTCCTATCATAGGGTGAACTCAAAGAGGGAGGTAGAGACGCTTCAAAGCTCATCCAAAACATCATGAATTGATGTTAGATGACCCTTGACATAACAGATTCGGCATAACATCTAGCCAAACCCCAAGCAATATAACTCATTTTCTTTATGTGGGTTGGTTCATTTTAAGCCAAATTCATTAGTCTTTACCATCCTTTAATCCATTAAGTCCAAGGTGATTGTTACGTCCACTAAGGATTACATCCACTGAGTGAGAAATATGTCAAACGGGAGGTGATTCTCAACATGAAAAAAGAGACTACACTGTTGGCAATGAACCTCTGTAGAGATTAAGCCATTAAGCGTAAATCGCTAGTTCACGTTTTGAATCACCGTCAACCGATTGAAACAATTCTCAAATGAAAGAGATGAATGGCAAGTTGATTATTAAAATGAGGTCCTTAAAAATGGAAATAAATTGAAGAAAAGCTTAGAACAATAAATTACAAGCTATATAGGCAAACTTAGGAGACAACAACTAAACTAAACAAAACATGAACTATTTAAACAACTTAAGACAACCCTAAAACAGCCCTAAACAGATGAAAAACAGCGGCTAAAAGTGCATGAAAAGTGACTAAAAAGCTAATCAACGAAGAGAGAAAACAAGGCAATTAAGCAAGAATAAGGAGGGGTGGCTAACCTCTCCACTTTTGAAACCTCAAGGCATGATTTTTAGCCCTTTTTTAACTCTGAAAATCAGTATAGAGAACAAAGAAAAAGAGTGTAAGAGTAAGGGTTTGAGCTATAGATAAAGGTGTAGAAAGAGTATAAATTCTCTTTATCCTTTTGGTAGCTCTCCAAACCCAAACTCAAACACTTAGAATAGAATCAAAGCAACAAGAAACTACAAGAATCATATAGCAAATGAAAGAGATGAAAGCAAAAGGGAAGATAGCAAGCTTATACCTCTCAAGGAAGTAAGCTTTTTGTTTGTGATCAAACTAGGCTCCAACACACTCTCAAGCTTGAATTATGGTGTTCAAGGCTCAACCAAGGTTCCTAAACTAAGGTATGAAAGTGTATATGGTGTATGGATATAGGTTCAAGGTGATAGGTTAGCTCAAAGTGTTGCTTGCACAAGAAGAAGGAGAAGAAGGAGCTCTCAAGGTGGTATAAAGGCTTTCTTGAAATTCTTCAACCCTCAAAACAGAGATATATGGTCATTTTTATAGAATTTGAGCCAGCAATATCATAAATATCTTAAAAAATGGACAGTTGGCGGCCTCCCGCCCAAAACAATGTCTCTCGCTACCAAGGCTCGGCCGGCCCTCAGTAGCCACGGCCGACCCTTAATGAGGCACGACCGGGCCTTAATGCATGCCCCCGTTTTTTTGTTTCCGCTTTAACATAGGGTGGCACAATGTGTAAAAATGGATTTCTTGGGTATAAGAAGTGGGAATATGGGAGGTTTGGTATTGTTTCGGAGCTTTAAACATGGCCCATTCGTTGAGACCTCGAACTATGCGCAACACCACTTTTATCATCGAGTGTACTGGACAAAGCGCTCGAGCCTTGCAGGCAGTCAAAAATGGGGTGTCCACACCTACTTTCATGCTATTAGTGTCAAGTAGTGCCTACTTTTATGGTATTTTATGTTATGTATGAGCCTCTATAAAGGTAGTCCTAATTGATGAATAAAATCAAGTCCTTAAGTCTTAGCTTTTTTTTTATCTTCATTGCTTGTTACAATGGTATTAGAGCCAAGTTTAGTTTGTGAGAAAGCAAGAGAAAGTTCCCAAAACTGTGAGAGTCATCAAAATAGTCCCCAAAATAGTCCAAAATAGCAGTAGTTATTTTATCTCCACTGATTTTTTTACTGGAAACGATGGCTACATGACTAATTTTGTGCAAGCAGCAACCCCTCGCTTTGATGGTCCCTATGACCATTGGAGAATGTTGATGGAGAACTTGGGGTCTAAAGAATATTGGCAAGTCATTGAATCTAGTGTAACAGCTCCTGCAGCTAGCGAGCCACTCACAGATGCACAAAAAACAAAGCTGGAAGGACTGAAGTTAAAAGATTTGAAGGCAAAGAATTACTTATTTCGTGCCATTGATTGATCTATCCTACAAATAATTCTTAGCAAAGAAACTTCCAAGGATATTTGGGATTCAATGAAGAAAAAATATCAGGGCTCATCAAGAGTGAAGCGTGCACAGCTTCAAGCCTTGAGAAGGGATTTTGAGACTCTACAGATGAAAGATGGCGAGTCCATTGCCAGTTATTATGCAAGGACTATGGGGATAGCAAATAAGATGCGATTTCACGGTGAAAAGATGAAAGATGTGGCTATTGTTGAGAGGATTCTACGTTCATTGGCCGCAAAATATGATTATGTGATTTGTTCAATTGAAGAATCAAAAGATATAGATAAGTTCCCTCTTGATGAACTCCAGAGTTCCTTATTAGTCCATGAACAAAAGATGAACCGAAGTTCAACTATTGATGAGCAAGCTCTAAAAGTTTCTACCTTTACTCAGTTCTCAAACTATAGAGGAAAGGGTAAAAGTAGAGGTAGAGAAATGGGAGGTAGTGTTGCGGATCTTGGGCACACCAGGGGACACTCACAAGCAAAAACACAAGACTTTTAACGTGGTTCGGCAAACCGGCCTACGTCCACGGGAGCGATGTTGTTATATATCAACAAATGGAGGAGATTACACACTCTCAACTCACTGTCTCTCTATATAACACACTCACTCACACTCTCTGACAAACAGAAAATAGCTCTCACTAGCTCTCTCTGTTTTGTGCCTCTCTCTCAGCAGTGTGTTTCTCTCTTTGCCCTGTCTACAACTCACCATCACCATTCCATTTTATACACCTTGGAGTAGGTGGGAGTGCCATTGGGTAGCCTCCATGCTTGACTTCGGCAGCCTCCTTCTTTGACATGGTTGGTAGCCTACTTCCTTGTTGACCAACCAAGGTGTGTTCACAAGACAATTTCCCCTTCACATGGGGTGAATTCAACAAATCACCCCCTCAACCCATGTGAGGTGATCCACTGCACACACTGCTGCTAATCTTGTCACGCCCAAATTCAACAAAGTCTGCATCTCTTCACTGAGATGCTTGCACCCCCTTGCCTGGAGTGCCCGGCACCCCCTCACTGGGGTGCCATGCAAAGCTTACTTTGCAACTCTTTGAGATGGCATCTCTCCCTTCCATCCAGTCTTGGAGAGATCCCAATATGTCTCTAATTCAGGAGCAAAAGAAACTTTCTTCCCTGGGACATGCTTTGCTGTCTTGGTCTCTTTGCTCTGAGCTGTCTTTAAAATTGGCCGCAATGGCTCCGTCTTGTGCACCTCCGAACTGCCTCCATGCGTTCTTGTACACTTTGGTTGCCATGTCTGCTGGGCCCTATGTCTCTTCTGTGCATGTCTTGTACGTCTTGCCCGGTAAGTGACAGTAGCTCCGTCTGTCACAACCTTCTCCACAAGCCTGTACAGATTCCCCTCCAGTCGTCCATGTAGCATCACCGTATCTCCATGGATGACTTTGAGATTTCCTTTGCTAGATGTGAAGCTATAACCTTTCATGTCTAGCATACTTAAGGAAATTAGATTCTTCTTCAGTCTTGGCACGTGTCGGACTCCATCCAACGTGAAAATTTTTCCATCTTCCATTCTCAGCCGTACTGTTCCCATGCCAACAATCTTACTCACAGTGTTGTTAGCCACTCGAACAATACCTCCATCCTTGGCTTGGTAGGTAGAAAAAAGTTTCTTATCCATGCATATATGATATGTGCTTCCGGAATCTAAGATCCAGTCAGGTTTCGTCATACTCGACGAAACTGTAAATGCATACTCATCCTTAGCATTTACTGCAGCAGCGACATTTGATGAGCTCGCCTGTTCCTTGTGTGCCTTGTCCTCCTTGAGCTTTGCACAGTCTTTTATGAGGTGATCCTCCTGATCACAGTAATAACACTTTCTCCTGAAGCCTAACCTTGATTGCGAACGTCCTCTTGATTTGGATCTACCCCGTCTATCATTGGACCTACCTCTGCCTTGCTCATTTTCTGAGGCAACCATGGCATTTCCTTCTGGGTGTTTGCTACTGCTACCTTCCTGTTTCTTCATCGACTCATGAGAAATGAGCGTAGCAATCACCTCATCCAGTCCAAGAGCATCCAGTCCAAGAGCATCCTTCCCGTACAATAGAGTTGTCCTGAGATGCTCATATGATGCAGGTAGAGAGACCAGCAAGATCATAGCCCTATCTTCCTCCTGGGTCTTGTCTCCAATGGTGTCCAATTCCATTGTGATCCTATTGAACTCGTCCAGATGTTCTGTGAGGTTCGCACCTTCTGGCATTATAAGTGTATATAGCTACCTCTTCAGAGATAACCGGTTTGTCAAAGACTTTAACTTGTACCTCATCTCTAACTTTGCCCATAGCTCCGCCGGATCTACTTCACTGATGACTTCCCGGAGTGTGTTGTTCCCGAGATACAACTGAATTGTACTGTTTGCCAATTCCCTCAACTCCTCCCACTTGTCATCCTTCATGTCTTCCGGTTTGTTGGACTTTTTGAGAAGAGCTTTCACCAGACCTTCTCGTGTTAAAATGTTTTTCACCCTTTGCTGCCACAGGGTAAAGTCATTACTACCATTAAAAGGCTCAATCATGAAACTTGCGCCTTTTCCTGCCATTGTAAATTTCTTCCCTTTTTAAAGAAATTCCGATTTAAGAATCTGACCGTACGGATGGGTCCGGAATATTTCAAATAGTTGGAACGCACTATTGGATCGCCAAAAAACGGACTCCGAATGGCCTAGATCTAGCCAAAACAGTTTCAACGGTTCAGATTTGCTGAATCTGGTGCGCCTGAGAAGCACCAGATAATTCCTCCGGATCGGCTGGTCAACGGCGCAGTCAGCGGCTCGGTCAACGGCGCAGGGGCGCGGTCAACGGCGGCTCAGCGGCGCGGCTTGGCTGGCGGCGCGGCTCCGGCGCGGCTCGGCCTGGTCAGCGGCGCGGTCAACGGCTCGACGGCTCGGCTCGGCTCAGGATGACGTCAGCCTGACGTCAGCTTCACGCGCGCCCCCACTCGTCTTCTTCCTTCGTCGGCGCGTGGGGCGCGTGGGTGAGAGTGGCCTTCACTCTCGATATTCAGGTGGCGCGTGGCGGCGCGTTAGAGCTCCGATTGGCCTGTGGTTTGAAGTTTTGGACTCCTCTCCTCCTGACCTTCCTCCTGGTATGCTCAAAAGTGGATTTCGACCACTTCGAAATCTGGACACTTTCGGAAAAAACTCGATTTTTCTCCACCCGGGCTCTGATACCAATTGTTGCGGATCGTGGGCACACCAGGGGACACTCACAAGCAAAAAACACAAGACTTTTAACGTGGTTCGGCAAACCGGCCTACGTCCACGGGAGCGATGTTGTTATATATCAACAAATGGAGGAGATTACACACTCTCAACTCACTGTCTCTCTATATAACACACTCTCTCACACTCTCTGACAAACAGAAAATAGCTCTTTCTAACTCACCATCACCATTCCATTTTATACACCAAAACAGAAGGTGGAGGAGGCCTCATGGGTGTGTTGGCTGCCAGCCCAATATTCTCCTTTGAGCTGCTGTCCAGTTGAAAGCTTTGTCCCACCATGTGAAGACTTCACATGGCCAACTCCATGCTTTCTCCTTTGTTGCTGGCGCATGGCAAGCCTCATGGCTGCCAACTCAAGCCTCATGACTTGCCAACTCATGCCAACCTCTTTTGCCTTCCTTTTACCATGTGGGTTGGCCACCCTTCCATGTGGCTGCCAACTCAATTTGGGTTGATCTCCTACACATCACCCCCTCAACCCATATGAGGTGATCCATAATAGCACCCCCTGCCTGGAGTGCCCGGCACCCCCTCACTGGGGTGCCATGCAAAGCTTACTTTGCAACTCTTTGAGATGGCATCTCTCCCTTCCATCCAGTCTTGGAGAGATCCCAATATGTCTCTAATTCAGGAGCAAAAGAAACTTTCTTCCCTGGGACATGCTTTGCTGTCTTGGTCTCTTTGCTCTGAGCTGTCTTTAAAATTGGCCGCAATGGCTCCGTCTTGTGCACCTCCGAACTGCCTCCATGCGTTCTTGTACACTTTGGTTGCCATGTCTGCTGGGCCCTATGTCTCTTCTGTGCATGTCTTGTACGTCTTGCCCGGTAAGTGACAGTAGCTCCGTCTGTCACAACCTTCTCCACAAGCCTGTACAGATTCCCCTCCAGTCGTCCATGTAGCATCACCGTATCTCCATGGATGACTTTGAGATTTCCTTTGCTAGATGTGAAGCTATAACCCTTCATGTCTAGCATACTTAAGGAAATTAGATTCTTCTTCAGTCTTGGCACGTGTCGGACTCCATCCAACGTGAAAATTTTTCCATCTTCCATTCTCAGCCGTACTGTTCCCATGCCAACAATCTTACTCACAGTGTTGTTAGCCACTCGAACAATACCTCCATCCTTGGCTTGGTAGGTAGAAAAAAGTTTCTTATCCATGCATATATGATATGTGCTTCCGGAATCTAAGATCCAGTCAGGTTTCGTCATACTCGACGAAACTGTAAATGCATACTCATCCTTAGCATTTACTGCAGCAGCGACATTTGATGAGCTCGCCTGTTCCTTGTGTGCCTTGTCCTCCTTGAGCTTTGCACAGTCTTTTATGAGGTGATCCTCCTGATCACAGTAATAACACTTTCTCCTGAAGCCTGACCTTGATTGCGAACGTCCTCTTGATTTGGATCTACCCCGTCTATCATTGGACCTACCTCTGCCTTGCTCATTTTCTGAGGCAACCATGGCATTTCCTTCTGGGTGTTTGCTACTGCTACCTTCCTGTTTCTTCATCGACTCATGAGAAATGAGCGTAGCAATCACCTCATCCAGTCCAAGAGCATCCTTCCCGTACAATAGAGTTGTCCTGAGATGCTCATATGATGCAGGTAGAGAGACCAGCAAGATCATAGCCCTATCTTCCTCCTGGGTCTTGTCTCCAATGGTGTCCAATTCCATTGTGATCCTATTGAACTCGTCCAGATGTTCTGTGAGGTTCGCACCTTCTGGCATTCTAAGTGTATATAACTGCCTCTTCAGAGATAACCGGTTTGTCAAAGACTTTGACTTGTACCTCATCTCTAACTTTGCCCATAGCTCCGCCGGATCTACTTCACTGATGACTTCCCGGAGTGTGTTGTTCCCGAGATACAACTGAATTGTACTGTTTGCCAATTCCCTCAACTCCTCCCACTTGTCATCCTTCATGTCTTCCGGTTTGTTGGACTTTTTGAGAAGAGCTTTCACCAGACCTTCTCGTGTTAAAATGTTTTTCACCCTTTGCTGCCACAGGGTAAAGTCATTACTACCATTAAAAGGCTCAATCATGAAACTTGCGCCTTTTCCTGCCATTGTAAATTTCTTCCCTTTTTAAAGAAATTCCGATTTAAGAATCTGACCGTACGGATGGGTCCGGAATATTTCAAATAGTTGGAACGCACTATTGGATCGCCAAAAAACGGACTCCGAATGGCCTAGATCTAGCCAAAACAGTTTCAACGGTTCAGATTTGCTGAATCTGGTGCGCCTGAGAAGCACC